ACACGATACACACATCACACCATACACACATCACACCATACACACATCACACGATACACACATCACACGATACACACATCACACGATACACACATCACACACACACATCACACCATACACACATCACACGATACACACATCACACACACACATCACACGACACACACATCACACGACACACACATCACACCATACACACATCACACGATACACACATCACACCATACACACATCACACGATACACACATCACACACACACACATCACACGAGACACATCACACGATACACACATCACACGATACACACATCACACGATACACACATCACACCATACACACATCACACCATACACACATCACACCATACACACATCACACGATACACACATCACACGATACACACATCACACCATACACACATCACACCATACACACATCACACGATACACACATCACACCATACACACATCACACGATACACACATCACACGATACACACATCACACCATACACACATCACACGATACACACATCACACCATACACACATCACACGATACACACATCACACGATGCACACATCACATGATACACACATCACACACACACATCACACCATACACACATCACACGATACACACATCACACCATACACACATCACACCATACACACATCACACGATACACACATCACACCATACACACATCACACCATACACACATCACACGATACACATCACACACACATCACACCATACATACATCACACGTTACACACATCACACGATGCACACATCACATGATACACACATCACACACACACATCACACCATACACACATCACATGACACACATCACACACACACATCACACGATACACACATCACACGATACACACACCACACGTACGCACGCGGCACATTGCACAAACGCATTATCACAGCGGCGCTCACAAAGCAACCTTTAAAAGTTCTGAGAATGGCCGAGTGGCCGAAAATTGTGATCGCGATTTCGTGTTTTTCCCCCTCCCCATTTCGGAGGTCTCAATTTAAATCTTCTCGAGTTTTTTTTATATATATTTATTTTTCGATTTAAAGCTTTCGTGACTGCAAGGATTCATCTTCTTTGGTTCTTTCGGTAAAGTCACCACCACCACGTAGAATGAGAATAAATTGATGAAATGAAATAACACAATAAAACTCTCGTCCCTTCACCTGATGAAGGCCGCTTGTGTTGTGGCCCGAAACGTCGTGAGAATTTTATTGTGTTATTTTATTTTATCAATTTATTATTTTATTCTCATTCTACGTGGTGGTGACTTTACCGAAAGAACCAAAGAAGATATATTTATTTATTTATTTTAAAATGGGTCGCTGCATTTTTTTTTCTCCTGTAGTCTACATTTCACTTTGACCACCTTAAGGGGCCGTCCATAAATGACGTCACGCACCTATGGGGTGGTGGTGGGGGTGGGGGTGGTCAGACATTTGTGACGATGTGTGACGAAGGGGGAGGGGGGAGGGGGGGGGGTTTGAGAAACGTGACGTCACATCAAAATGCGCAACTTTATAAATAACTACAGACAACACGTTAATTAAATTGACTCTTTACTAAATGTTTTCTCCTACAACATCAGAGTGCAGCGCCACCACATTAAATACGCAACTACAATGACAATAGTTCAAAGCGATTTGAAGCATGTTTTATATATTTTTTTTGGGGGGGGGGGTGGGGGCAGAGCTTTGTGACGTCATATTTGAGAAGGGGTGTCTGACTTTTTGTGACGCCGTGTGACGAAGTGGGGGGGGGGTCAAAAATCGTCAAAAATCGCGTGACGTCATTTATGGACGGCCCCTTACCCACCCTACCCCCCGCAGTAATGTGCGTTAAGAAGAAGGGGAAGTCGTACTGGGTCCTGTTCAAATCTCGTTTTGATAATAGCAAAGAGAAACACAAAGGAGGTGGGGGGGGGGTAGAGGGGGGGGGTCCCCCCACATTCACCACAGAGCCGCCTCTGCGGTGAATGTGGTTGGGTGAGTGGGTGAGTGACTGAGTGGTTGGGTGAGTGGGTGAGTGAGTGGTTGGGTGAGTAGTTAGTTGAGTGGGTAAGTGGCTGGGTGAGTGGTTGGGTGAGTGGATGAGTGAGTGGTTGGGTGAGTGAGTGGTTGGGTGAGTGAGTGGTCGGGTGATTGGGTGAGTGGTTGGGTGAGTGGTTGGGTGAGTAAGTGGTTTGGTGAGTGGTTGGGTGAGTGGGTGAGTGAGTGGTTGGGTGAGTGAGTGGTTGGATGAGTGAGTGGTCGGGTGATTGGGTGAGTGAGTGGTTGGGTGAGTGGTTGGGTGAGTGGTTGGGTGAGTGAGTGGTTGGGTACGTGGTTGGGTGAGTGGTTGGGTGAGTGAGTGGTTGGGTGAGTGGTTGGTTGAGTGAGTAGTTGGGTGAGTGGTTGGGTGAGTGGTTGGTTGAGTGACTGAGTGGTTGGGTGAGTGAGTGGTTGGGTGAGTGGTTGGGTGAGTGGGTGAGTGAGTGGTTTGGTGAGTGAGTGGTTGGGTGAGTAAGTGGTTTGGTGAGTGAGTGGTTGAGTGAATGGGTGAGTGAGTGGTTGGGTGAGTGTGTGGTTTGGTGAGTGGTTGGGTGAGTGGATGGTTGAGTGGGTGAGTAAGTGGTTGGGTGAGTGGATGAGTGAGTGGTTGGGTGAGTTAATCTGGACACTTTCAATTTCGGCCCGCGAAAGTAGACACCACAGAGCTAGATCTGGCAAACCACGTGTCCCTTGCCCTGTCTCTCTCCTCTCTCTTTCATCATCATCACGGTGGCTAGGAGATGTTGACTACCTCGCCTGGTGCGCAGGAGGTCTTGGGTTCGATCCCGACCCCTGACGCCTCCTGCTGTATATTTGGAGTCTGCGTGTCTCTCTCTCACCATCATCATCATCACGGTAGCTAGGAGATGTTGACTACCTCGCCAGGTATACAGGAGGTCGTGGCTAATGCTATAAACTTCCACGTGACGATGATGATGATGATGATAATGACGATAAGCCACCCAATTGGTTGAGCTGTCATTCGTGATGGCCAGACGCGCTTCTCAGTAGTGAGGCCTTACCTGTTAAAATAAAAGAGTTAATTTTAGTTTAGTTCATGGGTCTCCATGTATATCTATGGGTGTCTATTCAACTCCGTGCATCTGTGTGGGTCTCCATGTGTCTCTATGGGTGTCTATTCATCTCTGTGCCTCTACGCGTCCATAAGTATTTGGCTACTGCTCCTCCATCCCACCCCCTCATCTCACCTCCTCCATCTCACCTCCTCCCTCCTTCTCACCCCCTCCATCTCACCTCCTCCATCTCACCCCCTCCATCTCACCCCCTCCATCTCACCTCCATCTCACCTCCATCTCACCCCCTCCATCTCACCTCCTCCATCTCACCTCCTCCATCTCACCCCCTCCATCTCACACCTCCTCCATCTCACCTCCTCCATCTCACCCCCTCCATCTCACCCCCTCCATCTCACCCCCTCCATCTCACACCTCCTCCATCTCACTTCCTCCATCTCACCTCCTCCATCTCACCCCCTCCATCTCACCTCCTCCATCTCACCCCCTCCATCTCACACCTCCTCCATCTCACTTGCTCCATCTCACCACCTCCATCTCACCCCCTCCATCTCACCTCCTCCATCTCACCTCCTCCATCTCACCTCCTCCATCTCACCTCCTCCATCTCACACCTCCTCCATCTCACACCTCCATCTCACTTCCTCCATCTCACCTCCTCCATCTCACACCTCCTCCATCTCACACCTCCTCCATCTCACACCTCCATCTCACACCTCCTTCATCTCACCTCCTCCATCTCACCTCCATCTCACCTCCTCCATCTCACCCCCTCCATCTCACCTCCTCCATCTCATCCCCTCCATCTCACCCCCCCTCCATCTCACCTCCTCCATCTCACCTCCTCCATCTCACTTCCATCTCACCCCCTCCATCTCACCCCCTCCATCTCACCTCCTCCATCTCACCTCCTCCATCTTACCCCCTCCATCTCACCCCCTCCATCTCACCCCCTCCATCTCACCCCCTCCATCTCACCTCCTCCATCTCACCTCCTCCATCGCACTTCCTCCATCTCACACCTCCTCCATCTCACCCCCTCCATCTCACACCCTCCATCTCACCCCCTCCATCTCACCCCCTCCATCTCACCTCCTCCATCTCACCCCCTCCATCCTCCATCTCACCTCCTCCACCTCACCTCCTCCATCTCACCCCCTCCATCCTCCATCTCACCCCCTCCATCTCACCTCCATCTCACCTCCTCCATCTCACCTCCTCCATCTCACCCCCTCCATCTCACCTCCATCTCACCCCCTCCATCTCACCCCCTCCATCCTCCATCTCACCTCCTCCATCTCACCCCCCCCCCCTCCATCTCACCTCCTCCATCTCACCTTGTCCATTTCACCCCCCCCCCTCCATCTCACCTCCTCCATCTCATCTCCTCCATCTCACCCCCTCCATCTCACCTCCTCCATCTCACCCCATCCATCCTCCATCTCACCTCCTCCATCTCACCTCCTCCATCTCACCCCCTCCATCTCACCCCCTCCATCCTCCATCTCACCTCCTCCATCTCACCCCCCCCCTCCATCTCACCTCCTCCATCTCACCTCCTCCATCTCACCCCCCCCCCCCCTCCATCTCACCTCCTCCATCTCACCCCCTCCATCTCACCCCCTCCATCCTCCATCTCACCTCCTCCACCTCACCTCCTCCATCTCACCCTCTCCATCCTCCATCTCACCCCCTCCATCTCACCTCCTCCATCTCACCCCCTCCATCTCACCTCCTCCATCTCACCCCCTCCATCTCACCCCCTCCATCTCACCTCCTCCATCTCACCTCCTCCATCTCACCCACTCCATCTCACCCCCTCCATCTCACCCCACCCACCCCCCACCCCCCCTCCTTCTCACCTCCTCCCTTGTCACCCTCCACGAAGGACACGAGCTGGGAGGTGGTGAGCAGCACCAAGGCGAGGCTGGAGCAGTTCAGGAGGACCATGCCGCTGATCGCCCACCTGAGGAATCCCGCGATGAGGGAGAGGTACGGAAGGTTTCCGTTTCATTCACGGGGCGTGGGCCCCCCGTGAGCCGTGCGGCCTTTTGGCTCGGGTGCAACCGCAACAACCAGGGCGCCTTAACGCGGCGACGCGGGGCACAAACATCCAGGAAGAACCAGCAAAGACCTTCCAGAAATAAGTAATATTTAAAAACAAAAACAAAAATTTTAAAACACGCTTTCATGAAATGTACCGTACGAGTATTGGTAATTGGCAGAACTCCACCACGACGGCAGGAAGTGGCCCCGAAGCTTGGCCATGACGTAAGGGGACCGCGGTGATTGACAGCCAACGTGAGTTGAGCGTGGACAGTTGCAGGCAAGCCGCACACGTAACGTATTAAAGAGATCAGTTTAACACGTAGAAGGCTTTCGTGACCAATGTTATTCATAATAAAGGTTTTTGGGTTAGATCGCGTTTATTTATAAATGTGTCGTAACCCTCCACCACCCGACACGGCCAATCAGCAAAAAAAAGTGTCACGTTGACAAAAGACAATTCACTACTTTAGTACTCAAACTGTAAATGTGGATTCACTCTTCAACACACCGGTGGGCTAAAGTAGTGAATTGTCTTTTGTCAACGTGACACTTTTTTTGCTGATTGGCCGTGTCGGGTGGTGGAGGGTTACGACACATTTATAAATAAACGCGATCTAACCCAAAAACTTTTATTATGATTAAAAAGATCGCTTAAAAATATTTTCTTTGCGATTTAAAGCTTTCGTGACTGCAATGATTCATCTTCTTTGGTTCTTTCGGTAAAGTCACCACCACATAGAATGAGAATAAAATAATACATTGATGAAATAAAATAACACAATAATATTCTCACGACCTTTCGGCCACAACACAAGCGGCCTTCATCAGGTGAAGGGACGAGACTGTCTGGAGGACAGCGCTGGAGTGAAAAAAGCCACGCTGAGATCACGACCTTTAAGCTGTGTGAGAAGAAACAAAGCGCCTTGACAAAGGAATTAGCATAGAATTTAGCATTGAAATGGCTGAGTGATTAGCTTGTGACTGGTCACAGGAAAGGTTATGTTAAGGGGTGCCTTTGCGGATGTGTATGCTTTAACTTTAACATAGCCTTTTCTGTGACCAGTCACAAGCTAATCACTCAGCCATTTCAATGCTAAATTCTATGCTAATTCCTTTGTGAAGGTGCTTTGTTTCTTCTCACACAGCTTAAAGGTCGTGATCTGAACGTGGCTTTCTCACTCCAGCGCTGTCCTCCAGACAGTCTCGTCCCTTCACCTGATGAAGGCCGCTTGTGTTGTGGCCGAAACGTCGTGAGAATGTTATTGTGTTATTTTATTTTATCAATTTATTATTTTATTCTCATTCTACGTGGTGGTGGTGACTTTACCGAAAGAACCGAAGAAGATGAATCCTTGCAGTCACGAAAGCTTTAAATCGAAATTTTAAAATATTATATATTTTTTTCTTCTTTGGTTCTTTCGGTAAAGTCACCACCACGTAGAATGAGAATAAAATAATAAATTGATCAAATAAAATAACACAATAAAATTCTCACGACGTTTCGGCCACAACACAAGCGGCCTTCATCAGGCGAAGGGACGAGACTGTCTGGTAGGACAGCGCTGGAGCTGAATCCTTGCGGGTCACGAAAGCTTTAAATCGAAATCATATTTTATTTATTTATTTTATGACAGAATATAGTTATTGTCATCAGTATGACGTCAGTATAGCAAGTTTACAGTCGATACCACATTGGGAAGTGGGTTAACATTAAGTTACAAGATTTGAGGATGCAACAACAGAATAAAAGCGTGCAAAATAATTAAAAAAGCACCGGGTATCAACGCTGCAAGTCAAACAATAAAAACCACGAGGCAATTTAGATGAAAGTTTATTGTTTTATATATATTTTATTATTTTATTGTTTCCCTTCAACGTGACTCTACCGAAAGAGCTAAGAATATGAACGTCAACCGGGCTAACTCCGCTAACTGCGACACACATGCACGGCTTGACCGTACCTTGTCCAGATCACCGAAATCAAGCGATGAAAACAAATTGACGGTGGGCATGGGGAGTGTGCAAACTGCACGCTGACCTTCGCCAAAGCAAATGGCCAGAGGATCTTGTTGTTGTTGTTGCTGCTGTTGTTGTTACTGTTGCTTTGTCATCTGTGGTGGAGTGCACAGGTCCGCTACCTGCTTATCAGCGCCCTTACTTTATTACAGAACAATTCAGACCATGTCGGTCACCCCGTGTGCCGCTCGTAAATCTCGACGTCCATCCCACAACGTCGCATCGCAAGGGGAGAAACACAAAAAAAAATTGATACAGAATGTACTTACATTTATTTATTTTTTAAACGGCTGTACGCCGTACTGGACCTGAAAACTCAATTTCCCCGCACAAGAATATGGGAAAGAGGTGTGGGTTGTTGTTGTTGTGGATGCTGCTGCTGTTGCTTTCTCGTCTGTGGTAGAGCACACTGATCCGGTACGTCACTGTAGAACCTAGCATAGAGACGTGGTCGTGTATGTTGCAACGTGGGGGGGAGTGGCTAGGAGATGTTGACTACCTCGCCTGGTACACAGGAGGTCGTGGGTTCGATCCCGACCCTGACGACGCCTGCTGCTGTAGATTTGGAGTCTGCGTCTCTCTCTCATCATCATCATCATCACCACGGTGGCTAGGAGATGTTAACTACCTCGCCTGGTGTACAGGAGGTCCGTGGGTTCGATCCCGACCCTGACGACGCCTGCTGCTGCTGTATATTTGGAGTTTGCGTCTCTCTCTCATCATCATCATCATCACCAGGGTGGCTAGGAGATGTTGACTACCTCACCTGGTACACAGGAGGTCCGTGGGTTCGATCCCGACCCTGACGACGCCTGCTGCTGCTGCTGCTGTATATTTGAAGTCTGTGTCTCTCTCTCATCATCATCATCACGGTGGCTAGGAGATGTTAACTACCTCGCCTGGTGTACAGGAGGTCGTGGGTTCGATCTCGACTCTGGCACCTGCTGTATATTTGGAGTCTGCGTGTCTCATCATCATCATCATCACGGTGGCTAGGAGATGTTAACTACCTCGCCTGGTGTACAGGAGGTCCGTGGGTTCGATCCCGACCCTGACGACGCCTGCTGCTGCTGCTGCTGTATATTTGAAGTCTGCGTCTTTCTCTCTGTCTCTCTCTCTCTCGCGTGGATTGTTTTCTTCCCCGGCTCCTCCGGTTTCTCCCATCCACATTCACAAACGACGTCACGCGCTCAGAGATATTTGCCTGCTGCTTCGACATTTCCACGCGATTATAACGACGACGACGATGATGAAGCCGCCACTTTGTTGAACTGCGATCACTTTGTGGTGGCCACGGTCGCTTTTGACGAAAGAGGCTCGCAGCAGCTGAGCAGTGGGGACCTTACCTGGAACAATGAAACATCGTTTAGTTTTAGTGTAGTCTATGGGTCTCTACCTATCTATGTGCGTCTCTATTCATCTCTGTGTGTCTCTATGTGATTCTATGCGTCTCCATGTGACTCTGTGTGTCTCTGTGTGTCTCTATGGGTCTCTGTGGGTATTTGCGTGTCTCTACGGGTATCTATGTGTCTCTATGTGCCTCTACGGGTCTCTATGTGTCTCTATGTGTCTCTATGAGTATCTATGTGTCTCTACGGGTCTCTATGTGTCTCTATGTGTCTCTACGGGCCTCTATGTGTCTCTATGTGTCTCTACGCGTCTCTGTGTGTTTCTATGTGTCTCTATGTGTCTCTGTGTGTCTTTGTGGGTCTCTATGTCTTTGTGGGTCTCTATGTGTCTCTGTGTGTCTCTACGGGTCTCTATGTGTCTCTATGTGTCTCTACGGGTCTCTATGTGTCTCTATGTGTCTCTACGGGTCTCTGTGTGTCTCTATGTGTCTCTGTGTGTCTCTATGTGTCTCTCTGTGTCTCTGCGTGTCTCTGTGTGTCTCTATGGGTCTCCGTGTGTCTCTGTGTGTCTCTACGGGTCTCCATGTGTCTCTGTGTGTCTCTATGGGTCTCTGTGCGTCCTGAGTGTCTCTATTGGTCTCCATGTGTCTCTGTCTGTACGGGTCTCTATGGGTCTCTATGGGTCTCTATGTGTCGCTGTGTGTCTCTATGGGTCTCTGTGCGTCCTGAGTGTCTCTATGGGTCTCCATGTGTCTCTGTCTGTACGGGTCTCTATGGGTCTCTATGGGTCTCTATGTGTCTCTGTGTGTCTCTATGGGTCTCTATGGGTCTCTGTGCGTCCTGAGTGTCTCTATGGGTCTCCATGTGTCTCTGTGTGTCTCTATGGGTCTCTATGGGTCTCTGTGCGTCTCTGTGCGTCTCTGTGTGTCTCTATGGGTTTCCATGTGTCTCTGTGTGTCTCTATGGGTCTCTATGTGTCTCTGTGCGTCTCTGTACGTTTCCTGGTTGAATGAAGAAAATGGGTCGAGTGGAGGATAGCGGAATGGGGGGGGGGTGTGGGGGGTGCAGGCGAGCGTGGATCGTACAACCCCTCCGTCGCGATGTGCGTGTGTGTGTACGTGCATGAGTGTGTGTGTGTACGTGCATTAGTGTGTGTGTGTACGTGCATGAGTGAGTGTGTGTGTGTACGTGCATGAGTGAGTGTGTGTGTGTACGTGCATGATTGATAGTGTGTGTGTACGTGCATGAGTGAGTGTGTGTACGTGCATGAGTGAGTGTGTGTGTACGTGCATGAGTGTGTGTGTGTGTACGTGCATGAGTGAGTGTGTGTGTACGTGTATGAGTGAGTGTGTGTGTACGTGCATGAGTGAGTGTGTCTGTGTACGTGCATGAGTGAGTGTGTGTGTGTACGTGCTTGAGTGAGTGTGTGTGTACGTGCATAAGTGAGTGTATGTGTGTGTACGTGCATGAGTGAGTGTGTGTACGTGCATGAGTGAGTGTGTGTGTACGTGCATGAGTGATTGTGTGTGTGTACGTGCATGAGTGAGTGTGTGTGTGTACGTGGATAAGTGTGTGTGT